TGAAATTGTTAAATGATTGGGTGCTATGTGAGTTAATTGTCTGTTACAAGCTTTAATAACCCATGTTTAAGGTGGAGCATGCTAAAGCATTAAAAGAGAAGATGTTAGCATGATGCCAGTATTACAAAGGAATTCCCATTGACAGGCTAGTGGTACTTGACATTATATTAGCATTAGAATTTTCATGAGAAAAGGCACTTACAAAGCACAATAAAAACAGTTTCCAGATTAAACATTGCTGTAGGGATGCATCAATACTGTTTTTTTGGGACAAAGTTCAGGTACATGGTTTTTGGTACTTGGCGATACCGATACTGATACCATAATGAGCAACCTACTTAAACTTAGGTAGTAGTGTAAAGAGCACAGTGTACCTTAACAGTACGATCACGCAATGTGCATAAGACTGTTTTGTAACGTGGGTTGGACCCCTTCCCCGAAGGGATGAATCTCATTATTGTAAGTGCATGTATTCAGTGAGAACTCATCATTATAACTTGTTGAAGTACGTCTTCTCCGAGGATGTTCTGTTGTCATCATATTTTCATCAGTGTCATGTTGCTTTTGCGTTTGAGACCAAAACATCAAGCTTGGCTTTCTTTCTGAGCTGTGATGCTAATATGTAAAAATTTACGAAAACCCCCTGAATTTTAAATAATTTAAATAGATAATTTCTAGCTTTACAGCGTGACTCGCAGCGCCCCCGCCACCTTGCGTCAACTTTTTTCTTCATCTCCTGACTCACTAATGCTACTTCCTTCTTACGTAGTGCAGCATTAACAATTGGGTTGACCTTGCCACCCTCTCCATCAAGCAGTTAGCAGGACTGTATGAGCTGTCCGCCGATTAGACCAGGAATCAGGGTTCCAGTTAGCGGCTGGGTTTCACAGCGCCTCATTACATGATAGTTTGTTTGGGTCCCCCACACCATGTTGCTAATCACCAATGGCAATAATCCATCACTGTAATTGTCTGGCCCCCATCTCTCATTCCGTTTTCTTGCTAATTATCTGCATCTCATTTGAAGGTGACACCGAGCACCATGATACGGACAAGAACGATGACAGCATAAACTAAAAGCACATCTACACATCTCCTCAGACACATTTACCTGAGAGATATATAAATATATAATATCTGACATGAATCTTGTTTATGGTTTTTTGCCGTTTTCTTCTGTGTTATGTGCTCCAGTGTTGTCACGGTTGGTGATCATAAGTGCATGGAGCAGTCTAGTCTCTCCTGTTGCCTTCCTGTTTCTTTTTTTTTACCTCTCTCTCTTTCTCGCTATCTCTTTCTCTGACTCTGCCTCTCTCTCTCTCTCTCTGTAATTAGGTTAATAGAGAGGTGCTGTGGTAATTGGCAGGTGCATGGCCAGCGGTGTAGTGTGCTAATGTTAACAGGGCGGTGTGTGTATTCAAGTGTGACGTGTGTCAGATGGAAGATTTACCTCAAACGTGTTTGCCTATAATATTATATTACCCCGCTCTGCGTCACACTCGCGTGCCATCCAGTCGGGTCTCGGTGCACATGTGCTCGTGTTTGTCTGCATATTTCAGTACATATATTCAACAGACGATTACACAAAGCCTCAACAACTAAATATAGTATCTAATTTATCAGTATTTAGTGTGTCCATGCTTTGCCTTGATTACGTCTTCCGTTCTCTTCAGTTTTTCAAAGAAATGCAGCGACACTTTTCCACACTTCCAGAGTTCAGTCTTAGAAGTTGGTTGCATTTTCTGCTTCTCACGATCTAAATAATCCCAAACACATTCAGTGATGTTGAGGTCTGGACTCTGGGGTGGTCAGTCCTTTGTTGTGAGAACACCAGCAGCTTCTTTGTTTGATTTCTTATTTCCTTTTCTCAGTGAGGACTTCTTGACAGCTACACATCCTTTCAGACCCATAGCGCTGAGTTGTCTTCTCACAGTGGAAGGATGGACAAAAACATCTGTGGATTGTTTCAGATCTGAAGCAGCTTGATTTTCTCCTCTCTCTCAAGATGAAAGCTTTAAGTGCTGTTTATCTGACAGAGAGTTTTGGGGGTCTACCAGGTCTTTCAGGTGGATGTTAGGAGTCACAATTTGCCTGTATCTTTGAGTAATTTTGTGAACTTCACTTAAGAAAAATTTGTTGTTTCATTTATTTTCCTTTAACATTCTACATTCTTTATGCAAGTGGATTTTTTGTATCCAATCTTCTTTGAGAGACCTCCTGAAAAATGAATACTTGGACTCAAAAAACTTGTACTTAATGGCTGACCCTAATTCTGATAACTGTGCACAGTTAGCATTACAGGGGAAGTAAATCACCTACTGCTATAGCGTCCCTGCATGGCACATGTTTGCAGTTATAAACTGAACAGTAAACAGTGATAGTGCTGGAGGTAATTTTCCATTTATTTGTGTTGTAAAGGAATATAAGAGCATAAATAAAAAAGGTTATCAATGTAGTACTGTAGTTTTAGTGTTTTTTAATGTTTTCAGGCTATTTTAACAGTGCCACTGTTAAAATAATCCTGAAACCTGTAATCATTTTGTTACTGATATCATGATTGGATATGTCCCATCCCCACATTTCCCTGAATTGCCACTCTATTTTGTTATTGTTACATTGTTATTGTTATTTATATTATTCTTATATTGTTATGAGGAACTGTATCCAAAAGTTGAACCAAATGCATTATGCATGCGTCCATTGTTCTGACCGTATTCCAGTCATTTGTGCAATGGTGCACTGTTTGTCCTGTAAAGTCTTGTGCTAGTCTTACTCTCCCCATGGATTAGCCAGATAAATGTCACTGGAAGGAAATCCAAATTAGATCATGAATTATTTGGTAGTCTCAAATATTTGATGGGTGCTACAAGAATATGAAATTCAGCACCTTGGGTGTGAGTTGTTCTACAAGCTTTATAAATGTTTTCATACATTTACAAAAGCTGAAAGAGCAAATTTCTTTTGGTTACGTTTATGTGAAATACATTTGGTCATATTATTGTTATGTGTAGGTACTTATATATATTTAGCATGTATGGGACATATAACGCACACACACACATATATATGTATAGATAGATAGGTAGGTTATTATTATTATTATAATACAGGGCTTCAGTTTTTGCTGACATAAATTATCAGCAAAATCTTTGAAACTTTTACACAGATTTCAGAATTTCTTAGTACAACCCTGTTTCCAAAAAAGGTGGGATGCTGTGCAAAGTGTAAATAGAAACAAAATGCAATAATGTGCAAATCATTTAAACCATATATTTAATTGAAAATAGTACAAAGACAACATATCAAATGTTGAAACTGAGAAATTTAGAATTTGATGCCAACAACACATTCCAAAAAAGTTAGGATGGGGGCAACAAAAGGCTGGGAAAGCTGTGTAATGCTAAAGAAAACACCTGTATGTAAGGGACAAGACCAAAAAATCAGTATTTGCTGGCTGTGATCTTTGGGCCCTCTGGCAGCACTGCATTAAAAACAGACAGGATTCTGTAGTGAACATCATTGCATGGGCTCAGAAATGCTGCCACTTTCTCTGGGCCCAAGCTCATTTAAAATGGACTGAGGGAAAGTGGAAAAGTGTCCTGTGGTCCGACAAATCAACATTTGAAATTCTTTTGGAAATCATGGACACCGTGTCCTCCAGGCCAAAGACCACTCAGCTTGTTATCAGTGCACAGTTCAAAAGCCAGTATTCATGATGTTATGGGGTGCATTAGTGCACATGGCATGGGTGAAGTGCACATCAGTAAAGACACCATTAGTGCTGAACGATATATACAGGTTTTGGCAACATATGCTACCGTCCAGACGACATGTCGTCTGTGCATTTGTTCATGTGCATTTTTAATTACTAAATTAGATGTTTCTGAGATGATTAGATACAAGATAATCCACTTGCATAAGAAAGGGGAAGGTCAAAGGAAAATAAGGGGGGAAAAAATCCAAAATTGGAGTTCAAAAAATGACGGAAAGATACAGAGAAAATGAGACTCCTAACAACCACCTGGAAGACCTGGTAGACACCAAAACTGTCCCCATCAGATAAACAGCACTTAAAGCGTTCATCTTTGTGAGAGGGGAGAAAATTAAGCTCCACTCTTACTTCAGATCTGAAAAAAAAAAAATTTCTTTCCATCCTTCCACTGTGAGAAGACAACTCAGTAACCAGTAACCTTGAATATCCTTAAATAAATAAATAAATGTGGTCTCTGACTTTTGCCCAGTATTAGATGTCTATAAAAACAAACCTCTGTGTGTGTGTGTGTGTGTGTGTGTGTGTGTGTGTGTTTTGTCGGATGATGGAGAGAGTAACAGACAGGCAGCAGGCAATCCCTCAGGTAATGTGAGCTCACAGCTTGCTGGTAGCCTGAGTGGATTAAGTGTCCGTCAAAGATCACAAGTTCTATTGTCTTTCAGTATAGACTCTCCGGCTCTGTGCATTTCTCCACTTCGGCCTCCACCCTCCTTCATGCTTCTTAACTATTCTAACATCACCACACTCCTCCGGTCGCTCGTTTTCCAGAGACTAACCCTTCCTGTGGCTGCCCCAGTTCTGAACTGTTATAGAGGTCACACCAAGCCTATGCTGACCTTGGTTTCACAGGCTTTAGTTTTCCATTACAAAGATCACAAACATAACAGTGGCACACATTTGTAAATCGGCCTCTAATCGCTACACTTAAGGAAAAAGTTCCTAACTGACCATCTCAGATTTGCTTAATGCTTTCGGGAATTGATGTTACTGTGGCCAGTAGATAGTGTGCCAAATGTTTAGGCTTCTTTATTGATTAGTTTCTGATGTATAATATGATATATTTAAAAAGTAGGCATTAATTTTTGCTTTGAAATTAGTGATAAAAATAATATTAAAAAAAAATAATAATGTGAGACTGCAGTTATATATATACATATATATATATGTATGTATATACACACACACATACGCATATGCTTATCTCCTCAATCCTTTCCTTCTCTCCTAGGTCTAGAGATGGAGTCCGCTATAAAGACAGTGGTTACTCAGTTCGTAACCTCAGCACGTGGGAAGGAGAATCTTGGAGCCAAGAATTTTCAAAAGCTGGTCCAGTCTCAGCTGGGGAACATCATGTCGGTAAGACAAACAGCAAGACAGCAAGTCTCAAAATCTAAGGCCTGATTTAATAAATACTAAAAAAAGTTTAGCTCAATTGTTATCGTTCTAAAAACTGTTGAAAAAAAAGTTAAATATTTTCTTAACCTTACAGCAGCCTCACACTTGTAAGAGTTAACATTGTAAGCCTCTAAAACTGCGACATCTAAGGGGATTCAAAAATTGTCAATGCTACACTGTGTAGTTTTGAGGATTTGGAGACCCCAGTATACCTAAGACCTGAACATCAAACCAGGCAATGGTGCAAACCATGTCTGGTGTCTTTACGTATTAAGTGTGTTTTATTACCGTTATAACAAATAGGAAAATCTTAAGAGAATAATGAGACTTTCTTAAGAAAATGTTTGAAAAATTCTCAGATTTTTTTGTGAATTTCATGTAAGAACACTTTACTCTGCTCTAATACACCTAGTTAATTTCACAGAGGCTTTGGTCATTAGCTGATGAGTATTTTAATTTGGGGAAAAACCCTAAATTCTGCGTCATGACCCTAATTCCTTCACTACCCACTCCAATCCAAAACTTAATCAGCATATAATTCTCACATTTGCGCACTGTTTTTAATGTCACTAAAGGTCTGTTAGCAATTACTTCTCTTTTTCCTTCTCATCTCACAGGACACAGATAGCTCGTCAGCGGTGAAGGAGATGATGCACGGCTTGGATGATAACCAGGATGGGAAGGTCAGCTTCCAGGAATACATGAACCTGGTGGGTTACCTGGCGTCTACGCTGAGCGAGAGGAAAACGGGGACCCAGAACAGTGCAGCCAACTGAGACTAGCCCTCAACAGCCAACAATCAACCAATTAAGCCTTTGTGTACAATATTCCATTAAAACTGGCAAAGCAAACTAGGGGTGGGCGATATGTGATATTGTGCTAAATTACACAACAGTATCCATGTTACTCTCAAAACTGCACAGCAACAAGGAGCCCATTCAAAACCACTATGCCATTATATACCAGATTTTTCCTACTGTTCGTTTTTTGCTATATAAAATCAAAAATCATACTCATTGTTTTCTGCTTTTTTTTTAATCTGGCATTTGTGTCTTTTCCAACTTGTTTGCAAACTTGCACAAATCTTTGCATATCCTGAAGAAGTATCGCACTATTATATTTTTGTATCGCCCACTCCTAATGCAAACCTCCTGTTTGTCTGGAAACTATGGTGCTTCATGCCAGCTGTATTAGCCTAGTGATGCCTAATCCTGACCCATGGAGTCCCCCTACATTGAATATTTTAATGTTTTCCTGTCTATATTACATCAAATTTGAAACATAATAAGGGCTTGTTCAGTAGGTGATAATGTTTCGAGAACATAGAAAGCACTAAAATGACCAGACCTCTAGGGCCAGGATTGGGAAACACTATTGCCAATGTGGGCCAAACACAATGTGCTGTGGACACCAAATGTCATTAAATGTTAATGTATGTGCTGTAGAGTCAACTTTTACTGCCAAATTAGCCCATATGCCAAAATGATGCATCATACAGTCATCTCTTGCAGTCTTATATGAAATGCAGCACTGATGTTAAATTGATTTTTGTTGCTAAGTGTCTTTTGTGCCTTATGTTACATGGCAATAAAAAAGTATAATGACTCGTTGGTGCACTCAGTCTGTTTGCCGCAGGTGAATAGAGACAAGCTGAAAATGAGAGAAACGGCATGAAAATGAGACAAAAGCGTGTAGCACAAATCAGTGGTCAGTGCTACAGTGTCAGAAATGTGAACATCTATGCTAGTGCTGCTAGCTCTGGTGTAAACAACTGTAACAAATTGATGACCTATCAAACATTGGCACAGCTAATCAGTTCAAACCCTTGATAATTTGTTAGCTTCATATGAGCTAAAATCTCTAGCTGATTCTTAGAACACTAATGGTAGTGTTAGAACACTAACGTTAACTAATTAGCTACTTACATCAGCTGCACAGATTGGAACACAATGTTCTATGCAAAACAATTACTAGCAAATATACAGCAAAGTAGGAGTTAGTCTTCGTGAACTTCAAGCTCTTTGCAACTTGAAACCAGCTGTCGCAGTAGATCTTGTCACAGTTCAAAGTTGTAGCTTGCTAGCTAATAGGCTAAAGGTAGACTACAACTACCCTGCTATGTGCCAAGGATGCCCAACATGCTTTCGACTTAACCCAGAAGTCAGAGCTTGGAATTACATCATTTTCAATCTTTGTGTTTTTGACCTACAAGATGGGGGAAAAACAGCTACCTCAGTAGCAGGCCTGGACCATCCCATGGGTTTTATGTCCGATTTTAAACTGTTCTCTTCATTGGGGTAAATGATTTGTGAAGAGCGGATGCGTGCCTTATGGGAAATGTTGCACTGACTATTGGGTTTATGTTAACCTGTGCTCTCATTAATGTGTGCATAGTCTTATTTTCCCAGTTAGCAAAGTTCTGGCTCACTTGTGGCCCACATCCTCTTTTTGTTCTGGCCCAGTATATGGCTGGGTCCTTGGCTCAGATCTGGCCCACACACTGTAAAGTGAGCAGAACTAAAGAATATGGCCCAAATCTGGCCCAACTACACTGTTGGTTCACAATATTCACACCAAAATTGTCCCACAAATGTAGACACAAGCCAAAATGGTATGAAGCTGTCCAGGACCTGGCCCTATTCTGGCCCACATGCCTAACATCTACCTGGTAGTCAACCAACACTCACATAGGGAAGCAAGAATTGGGTCAAAACAGTCTGCTGTCTGGTTTGTTTTGTCTCGATTGGGGGAAAAAATGCTCTGATCGTGATGACGCACTCAACATTGAGGTTAGTATGCTGCCATCATGGTGCTGCACAACACTATAATTTGCTGTAAAATTAAAAAAAAACAAACAAACAGATAACCCAAAAAGGGAGCCAGGTTGGGGCCCACCAAATACCCAGGGGCCAAAAACTTCCAGACCTGCTTAGTAGCACTTTTAGCAACAAGCTAGCCAGCTAATGTTAGTTATATGAGTGAAATGAGTTAATGAAGTATTTCATTCCCAAAACAGCAAACTTTATGGTCAATGATACATATTTATCCAACTGTTGATCTAAAGCAAATGCTTGTAAAATCTAATTTAACAGTAGAGAAGGGGTGGTTTATTACTGTTGATGGAGTGAGCCGCCATGCTAATATGACTGCATATGTTCAAAGGTAGCAGTGTTGCACTAGTGGAGTGGTTAGAAGTTAGTGATCAAGATTATTTTAGTTTTTTCCCCATCCATGTGTTTTTTTTTCCACGTTACTTGACCTGTGCTTGAAGCATGACTTTTACATGTGGATGCTATGTCCGATAAGGAGGTTAGACCACACTAGTGACATCTTTGACCTTACAGTAAAATGCACTGCGATAATGACCCAATGAAACTCTAATCCTGTCACTGGAGATGGAGATACAGTATAGAGTTTACACAGCAAGATAAACAGCATTTTATGAACTGCTAATGGGGCTCATCAGATTAAACTTAGTTTTAAATGCTAGTTTATAACACTATTTAAATGCAGTGCATTGAATATTTTTGTATTGGCAACATATAGTCAATAACGTCCAGTGTCGTTTGTACGTTAGCATATGGAAACTCTTGTGTGGACGCGCAAACACATCAACGCTATTGTATTGCATTAGGCCATCCATCCAAAGCTTCACTTAGTGCAACCTAATACACTCAGACATACAGAACATGATCAGCTACATGGGGTTAATGCTACACTTTAACTAAACACCAACTCAGCTTAACTAAAGCCACAAATCTACTGTTTGTCTCTGTGTACACAAATACACCTGTTCATTTATGAGGTGTAGGTCAGTATGTGTTTGTGTGTGTATGTGTGTGTGTGCAGGGACCTTCCCGAAGCTTGGCCGGCAGGTGTGTATGGATGCCATTCAATAAATGATGGCTTGTCACCTGTGCAACAAGATCATTGTGACATCAGCATTTCTTTTGACCTTGGGGTCAGCGCCAACCCACCACCACACATCCTCAGGGCTTGAGGTGTTCGGTAATGGCTGTTTTGTGCCATATGGCCTGGTTTGGTGTGTAACAGTATCAGCGTAGAAGGAATTTGACCCCAGTTCCACTTACAAAGTTTATACGCCACATTGAACGATGTAAGTTTTTCATATAAGTCAGTTGTTAAGATGCAAACAAACTCATTCAAAGTGATTTGCTGTACTTTTCCTTTACTGTGGTGGTGAGAGGAACCAGGGGTTGCAATGCAACTATAGCCGTTTATTGTATAAAACAACCAGTGAACCAATACATGTAATGTCGATACCTCTCTGCCAAGAATGGATTTTAATAATACATTTTAAGCCTAAAGCTATTACGCCTCAGGCGTCAGGCAGTGTATTCATGTAATTGTATACAAGGTCACTTTTTTGATGCATAAAGTGCTTCACCTGCCTGGTTCCTGTCACCACTACTTGGATGTTTTTCTATAATGGACCATTTCATATTAAGCCACTCTGAACTGTTTTTTTTTTACATCTTAACCATTTCATTATTCAGAAATTTGTCAAATTCAAGCCTAAGACTAGACTAAATAGGATTTTCAGTGATGTTTTAACATTGGTACTGCAGAATCATTGTTATAAAGTTGGGATTGGGGCATGTTTACGATTGTGTTGCATCACCTCTTCCTTTAACAACACTCTATAAGTGTTTGGAACTTGGGGAGACCAACTGCTGTAGTTTTGAAAGTGAAATGTTTTCCCATTCTTGCTTGATATAGGATTTCAGCTGCTCAACAGTTCAGGGTCTCCTTTGTCATATTTCTTGTTTCATAATGCAACAAATGTTGTTAAGGGGTTACAGGTCTGGACTGCAGGCAGGCCAGTTTAGCACTAGGACTCTTGTACTATGGAGCCATGCTATTGTAATACAGGCAGAATGTTGTTTAGCATTGTCTTGCCGAAATAAGCAAGACCTTCCCTGAAAAAGACGTCATCTGGATGGCAGCACGTCACTCCAAAATCTCCATATATTGTACAGTGTTAATGGTGCCTTCACAGGTATGCAAGTCACCCATGCCATTTACATTGTGCACAGCATCCCAACTTTTATATATATATATATATATATATATATATATATACCAACATTTAATACAGCATTACATAATCAAATGATTTTTTTTTATGAATAGAGGATATTAAGTACTGCTATAATATGTAGTCTGTACAAAATACAGTTTTGTGCTGCATTCAAAAACATAGCACAATATGTCATTACTATAAACAAGCATAACAGTATGAGTGTTATTAATATTAATAATAGTGTCAGACAATCTTAATTCACAACTAATTGTAGTTGAAAAATGACTTTGGAAATGAATGATGAATTTTTGGAACTACATTTTCTGCTTTTGCTCTGTATTGATCAATATGTGGACAACAGGATGGACAAATGATTCTGAATTATTGCATGTCTGGTACAAATATGCATTTTTTTTGCCATTGGATTGACATAGACATGCTTAATTAGACATGGTGTTGGCCTCGGAAGAATACAGAGATGTCTGTGACTAAGACATCGCTTACAGCGGGTTAATCATTTAGACTAGGGTGCTGAACTACCACCACTCTAAAACTTTAATGTGACAAGCACTGGAACATATAACTACACCTTAGGATCATCTGGTTGCCTTAGCGGGAGGGACGGTCAATATCAGGAACGCCTGTTTAGCTGTTTAGCAGCAAACTCCATCAAACAAAGGCAAGAAATACCCCAAATACGAAATGTGAAAGAACCGTGTCACGATGTAATGTTTTAATAATGGGCTTTTGGGCCTTTGGAGAAGTAGAACATGGGAAGAAGGAATGTAAGCAGAGATGGGGGGGATGGCGACAGGTGGGCAGAGGAAATGGAGGGATGGAGAGATAGAGAGAGGAGGAGGAGAGAAAGGGGAGGAGAAAGAGCGGTATAAAACACGCCGTCCATCTCTTCTTCACTAAACCGGCCTGCGTTCCTCGCTTGCACTCTTTCAACGAAAGTAAAGGCAGCA